GGCGGGTCTCAACCCGCGGGCTCAGGCAATCCACTCACCTCAGCCTCCCAAAGGCGTGGGATTACAGGCTGAGCCACCGAGCCCAGCTTTAATTTCTTTTAATTTTTTCTTTTTTTTTGAGTTGGAGTCTCACTCTATCACCCCAGCTGGAGGGCAGAGGCATGATCGTGGCCACTACAGCCCTGGCCTACTGGGCTCAGACAGTACTTCTGTTTCAGCCTTCCAAGTAGCCGGGACCACAGGTGTGTACCACCATGTCCAGCTAATCTTTTAATTTATTAATCCTGATACTATTAATTTACTGTAGAGACGAGGTCTCACCATATTGCCCAGGCTGGTCTCAAACTCATGGGCTCAATCTTCTCTCCATAACTTCCTATTGGGAAATTATGGGATTACAGGTATGAGTCACTGGTCACTGTACCTGACCAGTTTTTTCCATTTAGATAACTAAATTCAAAGCTCTATTTACAAACACTCCATTTCCACAGTCATCTGCCAATCCATCTTTTGTTGTATACTGAGCTCAGTATTTTCACAAACGTCATCTGATTTCTTATTGTGTATTTATATCACAATTTTTTTTTCTTTTTTTGTGGGGATTCTCATTCTGTTGCTCAGGCTGGAGTGCGGCGGCATGATCACAGCTCACGACAGCCTTGACTTCCTGGGCTTAGGTTATCCTGTCACCTTAGCCTCCCGAGCAGCTGGAACTACAGGTGTGCACTACCACACTTGGCTAATTTTTAAATTTTTTTGTAGAGACAAGGTCTTGCTATGTTGCCCAGGCTGGTCTGGAACTTCTGGACTCAAGCAATCCTCTCACCTTGACCTCCCAAAGTGCTGGGATTACAGGCATGAGCCACTGTGCCTGGCACCATTTGGGCTTTTTATGGTAACACCTTCTTTCCTATTCTTTTTTTTTTTTTTTGAGTTGGAGTCTCACTCTTGTCGCCCAGGCTAAAGTACAGTGGCACACTCATGGCCACTGCAGCCTCAACCTCAGCCTTCCAAGTAGCCAGAACTACAGACACATGCCACCATGCCCAGCTAGTTTTTGTGATTTATTATACGAGGCCTTACCAAGTTGTCCAGCCTGGTCTCGAACCTTCAGGCTCAGGCAATCCTCTCACCTTGGCCTCCCAAAGTGCTGGGATTACAGGCTGAGCCACTGCACCCAACCTCCTTTCTACTCTTTACAGTCTTAAAACACCTAGGTATGTATCTGTGAACTTCTTAAAATCTACTTACTGAGTTATGATTCATGTATAATAAATTGCAGAGTTAGTGTAGAGCTCATAAATACTGATAAACATATGAATTCTGGTAACCATTACCTCAATCAAGATACAGAACATTTCCACTAAACTCGCACATTTCCTCATGCCTCTTTGCTGTCAATCCCTTTCTCGCCTTGACCCTAGACAAACAATGATCTACTGTCTATCATTATAGTTAAAATTGTATTTTCTGGAATTTTATGTAAATGGAACATCACAGTATGTACCTCGTGTCTGGCTTGTCACTAAGAATGCTATTTCTGAGTTTTACCCAGGGTGATGTTTTCAGTAATAGTGTCTCTTATTGCTTCCACATCTTTCCCATTTAGGAAACTGTTTCTTCTTCTTTTTAATCCAAAATGTGTTTATTGGGATGGTTTCTCATTCATCTTGATTGGGGTGCTTTTAGTGCTGCTTCCTCCTGAAGGAACATCCTTCTGTGAGCCTTGCTTTTCCCTCCTGTAGGCTGACAGAGGACAGGGGAGTAGCCAACACACAAAATTACTGTTTGTGGATGGCTGAAAACTGTGGTGATTTTATAGCATCCTGGGCATTTCACGTCCATAAAGTAGGAGTTGGGGTTCTACATCAGGTGCTTCTTCTTGTGTTTCTTCTCCTCCTCTGAAGAGGGATGAAGGAGATCCTTTGTGAGAGGCATGTTCTCATGGGTAGGTCGTCACTGCCGGAAAGGAAACTATTTCATACAGATTTCTCTTTTTATTTTGGTAAATTACTTTAAACAGGTTAAGAGTGTTTCCTTCTACTGCTAACTTACCATTTTCTTTTTTTTATTAGTTAAACTGTGTGCTAAGATTTTCTCAATGCTTTTTTTGAATCTATTAAAATGATCATATGATCTTCTTAAATATATTGATGTAACAAATAACATTAGTGAATGTTCAAATACAAAAAACTCCTTGTATTACCAGGACAAATAAGTTTAGTTATGGTATATTGCTTTTTAAAATACACTGCTAGATTTGATATGAAAAAAATTTTTTTTTTGGAGTTGGAGTTTTACACACACTCATGGCCATTGCAGCCTCAACCTGCTGGGCTCAAGTGATCCTTCTGTCTCAGCCTTCCAAGTAGCTGGAACCACAGGCACATGCCACCACACTCAGCTAACCTTTTGATTTACTGTAGAGAAGAGGTCTTGCCAAGTTGCCCAGGTTAGTCTCGAACCGGTGTGCTCAGGCAATCCTCTCACCTTGGCCTCCCGAAGTGCTGGGAGTCACTGTGCGTGAGCCACTGTGGCCCGTCTTATTTTTTTTTCATAGCAATGGTGTCTTGCTCTGTCGCCTGGGCTGGTCTCAAACTCCTGACCTTGAATGGATATTCCTTCATTGGCTGTTTGGTCTTAGGGCCATTTCCAGAGGCTTTATTATTTTGAGTTGGGGATCTCTCTGCCGTCCAGGCTGGAGTGCTGTGGCATGATCACAGATCACTGCAGCCTTGACCTTCTGGGCTCAGGCGGTCTTTCCACCTCAGCCTCTCAAGTAGCTGGGACTATAGGTATGTGCCACCACGCCTTGCTGTCTTAAATGTTTTGTAGAGTGGGGTGGGTCTATGTTACCCAGCTGGTCTCAAACTCCAGGCCTCAACTGATCCTCCCACATTCGAAGTGTTCGGATTACAGGTGTGAGCCACCGCCTGACCTAAGACTAGTTTGTACCAGTTCCACTTGCGAGGTCAGCAGAACTCCTCAGACCGTCATCCAGACGTTGATCTGCTCACCTTCATTTTTTGAAAGTTATTTTGCTAGGCACAGGATCCAAGGTTGACAGGTCCTCTTTTTCCGCCACTCCTGCCTCTGGCTTGCATAATTTCTGATGAGTCTGCTAAATTCTTAACTTTGTATCTTTTTTCTTTGCATAATTTTAAACTTCATTTTTTTTTCTTTTTTGTTCTGTTTTGCTTTGAGTTGGAATCTCACTCTGTCACCCAGGCTGGAGTGCAGTGGCACACTCATAGTCATCGCAGCCTCGAGACCTGTTGGGTTCAGGTGATCCTTCCACCTCAGTCTTCCAAGCAGCTGGAACTACAGGTATGCGCCACCATGCCTGGCTAATTTTTGGATTTATTGTAGAGATGAGGTTTCACCAAGTTGCCCAGGCTGGTCTTGAACCTGTGGGCTCATTTATTATATGCTCTTATCCATCTAAGATAAAATTTTATAAATTATATTAAAAATAGATATAATTTCCAGAAATTAAGCATTTTATATTTCAGATATCAGTTAATGAATTTTTGTGTAACACACTGCTTCTTTTGTATTATCTGAAACAAAGTTATTTATAAGTATTTCCAAAGAAAAAACAAAGAGCTTTCAAATATGTTTTTTTGTCATAATTCACACAGTAGATAAAATATAAATCGATTCTGAATCTGCTAATTAGGAAAACTGAGCAAATATCTAAAATGTTACTTTTATCCTTAAAGCATGGTATATACCAGTGTGTCCAAACATCGATACACATGTCACCCGAAGGTCACCCAGAAGGTCTGCGAAAACACAGATGATGGCCTCTTTCCACAGTCTGATGTGGCAGGTCTGGGGAGGGGCCCACATTCCCAGAAGACACTGCTGGTCCGGGACTACTCTGATAGGCACTGTTATCAACTATTCTTTGAGCATGTGAGGGAAGAGAGAATTAAGAGTGTGAATGATATGGGGAGTGAGAGGGGCATGTGTGGCAGGCCTGGCCTGCTGGAAGGCTACTCAGGAGCCATGCTGCCTGGGTTGCTGATGGAACTTTGTCTAAGACAACTAGAAGTGCCATGGGAGGGTCATGGAAAGAGAGAAAACCAAACACCTATGGCAACCACACAACCATCAGTATTTCAGACACACATTCCTCACATTTACCTTTTGAAATATTCCACTTCCCTTTCTGTCTCATCCATATCCACACTGTCTAAGTCAATATCTTTAGGCAGAAAGACATCATCTGTAAAATGAAAGAAAAGAGGAAAGTCAAATTATTACAGCAGGCTATCTTACCAAAATAGAACAAATCACTTGGCTTTACCTAATTTGAACAACTTCAAAAATGTCAAAAAAAATTTTTTAAACAAGGTTTTACAGGAGGTCAAAGGACAGATCTTTCTGATGTACTTGTGAACATACTGGTCTAGCCTGGAAACTGTGGAGCTCACACATTTGTGAAGCAAAGCAATCACTGTGTTTCATGCCACATTAGAAGAGATCCATTTGCTGGAATCTGGACTGGTCATTAAATGATGGCCAACCCATTGGAGAGCCCTTTAGGCAAAGATTCCTGGGGAAATACACTGTATACAACCCCAGTGGCTGCCCTGTCTTTGCTGAAGGGAGGAGGGCACAGTTGCCAGCAGAAGCTGCCCAGAGAGCAGGCACAGGGCAAGGAAAGTACTGTCCTTTGAATGTGCCTTTGACAGGGAGAGGAACCAGACACAACCCTACAGGAAACTGGCTCTCCCAGACATTCATCACACAAACACAACATCCAGAGACCACATAAAAAATGTTCCAGGTTCTCTCAAATAAAAAGCAAGGCCATGTTTTTACTTTGCAGTTAAATATCCCTCTTTGGAAATAGGCAGGGTAGCAGGGCAATTATTGGTTCATGATTACTCAATTTCCTAGAATCTCGGGCAAATCTGAAAATTCTGCCTCCTTTCTTCTGCTCTGCTCACCTGTCTAATGCAGTGTTGAGCACCTTCCCTGCCTTGTCTGAGCCTTAGGTGTCATAGAGGCTCCATGCACCACCCCACCTAGTCTCTGTAATAAATCAAAAACAGCCTGGTGTGATGGTGCGTGCCTATAGTTCCAGCTACTTGGAAGGCTGAAGCCTGACCCCAGCAAGTTGAGGCAGTGGTGGCCGTGAGCATGCTACTGCACTCCAGCCTGGGCGACAGAGAGAGACTCCGACTAAAAAAAAAAAGAAAGGAAGCCGGGCTCGGTGGCTCAGCCTGTAAGCTCGTGCCTTTGGGAGGGGAGAACGGAGGCAGAAGGATTGCTTGAATACAGGAGTTCAAGACCAACCTAGGCAACAAAGTGAGACCTTCACTCTATAAAAAAATAAAAAAATTATCCGGGTGTGGTGGTACACACTTATAGTCACAGTTACTTAGGAGGCTGAGGTGGAAGGATAGCCTGAGCCCAGGAGGTTAAAGCTGCAGTGAGCTGTGGTTGTGCCACTGCACTCCAGCCAGCCTGAGTGACAGAGTAGAACCCAACTCAAAAAATAAAATAAAAATAAAAAATTAAAATAAACAAGTAAAACTAATTTTAGTAATATATTTACTTAATTAAATGCATCTAAGAAATTATCATTTCAACATGTAACCAATATAAAAAAATTATACTGAGAAATTTTACATTCTTTTTTGCATACTAGGTTTTTAAAATCCAGTGTATAGGCTGGGTTCGGTGGCTCAGTCTGCAATCCTAGCACTTTGGGAGGCCGAGGTGAATGGATAGCCTGAGCCCGTGGATTTGAGACCAGCCTGGGGAACTTGGTGAGACTTCGTCTCTATAATAAATAAAAAATTAGCCAGGCGTGGTGCGTGTAGTTCCGACTACCTGGAAGGCTGAGGCAGAAGGATCACCTGAGCCCAGGAGATTGACAATGGATTGGCAGTGAGTGTGCGACAGAGTGAGACTCCAACTCAAAAAAAATAAAAAGAAAATCCAGTGTATATTTTACCCTTACACCACATCTCAGTTCAGACTACCCACATTTAAAGTGCTCAATAGTAACATGTAATTAGTGGCTACTGTTTTGGACAGCTCAGAACTAGACAATATAATGGTAGAGAATAAGAAAATCTCATTTAAATTAAACACAAGGCCAGGTATAGTGGCTCACACCTGAATCCCAGCATTTTGGGAGGCTGAGGTGAGCAGATTGCCTGGGCCCAAGAGTTTGAGATCAGCCTGGACACCTTGGCAAGATCTCATGTCTACAAAAAATAAAAGGAATTAGCCAGGCTCAGTGGTATGTGCTTGTAGTTCCAGACACTTTGAAAGCTGAGAGCAGAAGGATCGTCTGAGCCCATCAGGTGGAGGTTGCTTTGGCCATGAGCATGTCACTGCACTCTAGCCTGGGTGACAGAGTGAGACTCTGACTCAAAAAATAAAATAATTCAATAAAATAGGCCGGGCATGGTGGCTCATGCCTGTAATCCCAGCACTTTGGGAGGTGGAGAGGAGAGGATCACTTGAACCCAGGATTTTGAGACCAGCCTGGGCAACATAGTGAGACCTCATCTTTATGATAGATAAAAAAAACTGGCCAGGATTGGTGGTTCAGCCTGTAATCCAAGCACTTTGGGAGGCCAAGGTGAGTGGATTGTCTGAGTCCACAGGTTTGAGATCAGCCCAGGTCAACTTGGGGAGACCTCGTCTCTACAATAAACAAAAAATTAGCCAGGCATGGTAGTGTGTGCCTGTAGTTCTGGCTACCTGGAAGGCTGAGGCTGAAGGATCGCCAGAGCCCATCAAGTTGACACTGGGGTGGCCATGAGTGTGCCACTGCACTCTAGCCTGGGCAACAAAGTGAGACTGACAAAAAAGAGACATCATTTCTCCCTAAATTAATGTATAAATTTAACACAATTCCAATAAAGATACCAACAAGCTTTTAAAAATGGAGCTAGGCACACAGATACTAAAATTCATATGGAAACACAAACATGAGAGAATAGCCTGGAAAATGCTGAACCAGAAAAGCTATGAAGGGAGAACAATTCTATAAGGTATTATTACTACATGTAGTACTTCTAAAAAATAATGCAACAACAGCACATGAGTAAATAGGAAAAAAACAGAAATTACAGAAACAGCTCTAAGTGTATAGGGCACTTTATTGGTCAAAGGTGGCATCTTGAATTAGTGGGGCAGGATGAACTTTTTAGTAATCGTGTTGGGACAACTGGTTATTCCTTTGGAAAAAGATAAAATTGGATTCATACTTCACATTATACACAAGAATAAATTCCAAATGTTATCAGGGATCTAAATTTAAAAAAAAGATGAAACCAAACAAATGCTAAGACAGAAATATGGGAATAGTCTTCTATAACCTTAGTGTTAAGATAAAGGTTTGCAACAATTATTCCAAATCCAGAGGTAATCAAATTAAAAAAAAAAATCAATAAACTAACTACATAAAAGCGAAAAAGAAAACTTCCCCATTGCTGAAAAGCATCGTAAGCAAAGCCAAAAGAGGATTTATGAACCAGGATAAAATATTTGCAGCACATTACACATTTAAAGGCTAATATTCCTAACATATAAAATTTTCTATTTTTTGTAGAGATGGGATCTTGCTATATTTCCCAGGATGGTCTTGAACTCCTGGCCTCAAGGTGATCCTCTCACCTCAGGCCTCTCAAAGTGCTAAGATTATAGAGGTGAGTCATTGCACCTGACCAAAAACTTATTAAATTCGAAGGAAAAAGACCAAAATCCAATAAATGAGAAAAATATATGAATAGAACATTCACAAAAAAGATAAAAAGCAGCCCTTAAATATATATGAACCTCACTGTAATCACAGAAAGTGCCAATGACACTGAGGAATTATGTCAGCAAATGAATTGACAACAGGTTGAAATGACAATATACTCAGCAGGGCTGTGGGCAAACAGGCACTCAGGTGCTGCTGGTAGGAGGGCTGACTGGAGAGCATGGAGAAGAACTAGCAAAACTACAAATGTACTTACCTTTTGACCCAGTAATCTCTTTTCTGGGAAAATGAGCTGAAGTTAAACCTCCAAACAACATGAAAATAAATATGTACAAGACCATTCTCTGTAATGCTATAACTATAAAACACCAGAAACAACCTCAATGCTTATACCCAGTATACTTTATTTTATTTATTTATTTTTTTTGAGTTGGAGTCTTACTCTGTCGCCCAGACTGGAGTGCAGTGGCCACTCCCGGCCACCACAGCCTTGCCTGCTGGGCTCTAGCGATCCTTCTGCCTCAGCCTTCCAAGTAGCTGGAACTACAGGCGCGCGCTACCACGTCCGGCTAATTTTTGATTTATTGTAGAGATGAGGTCCCGCCAAGTTGCCCAGGCGGGTCTCGAACCCACAGGCTCAGGCAATCCACTCACCTCAGCCTCCCAAAGGCGTGGGATTACAGGCTGAGCCACAAAGCCCAGCTTACCCAGTATACTTTAAATGGAGTACTATGCAGCTGTAATATGATACTCTATGAACTGATAGGAGTGATTCCCAGAATATACTAAGTGGGGGGGGGAAGAAAAAGCAAAGGTCAAAAGAAAATGTAGAATGCTATCTTTTGTGTAAAAAATAAAGGCAAACAAGAAACTGATCAGTTACCTAAAAAGCATCGTAAGCAAAGCCAAAAGAGGATTTATGAACCAGGATCACCTGGTTGGGCAGGAATGAGAATAAAATAAAAGTGGGATTGGGGAGGGAAACACAATGGAATACAAGCAGGAAAAAAAATGAGTTTTAAATGAATAACATTAACTGTATTAAAGGAGGAAAACTAATTCAAGTCACTTCTTTTTTGAGTTGGAGCCTCCCATCTCACTCTTGTCACCCAGACTGGAGTGCAGTAGTACATTTACAGCCACTGCAGCCTCGACCTGCTGGGCTCAGGCGATCCTTCAGCTTTAGCCTTCCAAGTAGCTGGAACTACAGATGCATGCCACCATACCTGGCTAGTTTTTGAGATTTATTCGAGACGAGGTCTCACCAAGTTTCCCAGGCTGGTCTCAAACCCCTGGGCTCATGCAATCCTCTCACCTCAGCCTCCCAAAGTGCTGAAGGTTGAGCCACCACACCCAGCCTTCAAGTCACTTTCAAATGCAGTATTAAATGCGGGTTAAAGACAAAAAGAACTGAACAAACATCAATGCATATTTAGAGTTTTCCACAGTGGTGAGAGTGGGCAATCCTGAAACTACTTATATTCCAGGACTAAACAAGTACTGTGGATGACTGGGTCCAGGTTGTCACTGTCAGAGAAGGAGAGAACACACACTGTGGCACTGGAGTGGTAGAGGGTATCTGTGGGACTCTACAGCTTCTAATATAGAAATGAGATAAGGATATAGACACACGTGTGTGTGTACATGTGGCATGTGCACTTGCACACACAGTCTCATCCCCACCACAGCCCCACACCCAGCTCTGCAGACCAAGAGGGCCTAGAAGCAGTGCCCACACTATAGCACCCAGGTCTGGATTTGTTTTTTTTTTGAGTTGTAGTCTCACTCTGTCACCCACACTGGAGTGTAGTGGTTGCTCCCGGCCACCGCAGCCTCGACCTGCTGGGCTCTGGCGATCCTTCCGCCTCAGCCTTCCAAGTAATTTTTTTGATTTATTGTAGCGATGAGGTCTCGCCAAGTTGCCCAGGCGGGTCGCGAACCCGCGGGCTCAGACATCCACTCACCTCAGTCTCCCAAAGCACGGGATTACAGGCTGAGCCACCGAGCCTGGCTAGGTCTGGGTTTTTTTTTTTTGTTTGTTTTTTTGAGTTGGAGTCTCACTCTGTCACCCAGACTGGAGTGCAGTGGCCGCTCCGGCCACTGCAGCCTCGACCTGCTGGGCTCCGGCGATCCTTCCGCCTCAGCCTTCTAAGCAGCCGGAACTAGAGGCGCACGCTACCACGCCCGGCTAATTTTTGATTTATTGTAGAGATGTGGTCTCGCCAAGTTGCCCAGGCGGGTCTCGAACCCGCGCGGGCTCAGGTCATCCATTCACCTCAGCCTCCCGAAGGCGCGGGATTACAGGCTGAGCCACCGAGCCCGGCAAGGTCTGGGTTTTGAAACACTACTCGCCACTAAAAAGAATGAGGGCCCTTTGGAGAAATGGCCGGTTTAGGGCTGGGACAGAAAAGATATAAGATGAGACCAGAGCATCTATGGCAGAAAGTACAGAGTACTTAAAGGCTGGTAAGGCTGCATCAAAATGTCTAAGGAAAAAGTCATCCTGCAGGGCCTTCCCCACTGACCAAAACGGGGTCAAGCAGAGTATAACATAGTGTTAGCAAAGGATTATAATCCATAGCATCAAGTAAAAATTCATAAATTCACCCTGATAGAAATAACTAAATGAATGAAAAAAATAGATAAGGGAGAAGGAAACCTCTTCCTATAGCAAAATGGCAAATGACAGATGTAGAAGGAATACTATCAGAAAAAAAAATTACCATTTGGCAAACAACATAGTAGTAGTAGTAATAATAACTATTTCAGGCAAGAATCATTAATAGATGCTAGACCTAGTGGGTGAATTGTTTGATAAAAAACAGGATACTCATCTCTCCATAAGATACTTACTAATCAACCCAGTGATGGGACAGAAAACATTATAAGCCTCCTGGTGAAATGCACTAACAAGGACCCATCAAGTCCTTGGTATTGCTGCCAAAGAAATCTACATATGATCGTGAAGAAGTAGAATATACAACCTAATTGAAGGACACTTTTTAAAAAAATCAATGGGCTGTACTCTTAAAAAACATCAAGGTCATGAAAAATTGAGGAAATAATCCAAATTTGAAGGAAATTTAAAGAGATATGACATATGATCCTGGATGGAATCCTACACCAGAAGGAAAAAAACGTTTTTTCTTTTTTTTTTTGCTATAAAGGATTCTAAAGGGACAACTGGAGAAACACAAGGGCTGTAATTAGATAACACCATTGTTATCAGTGTAAACATTTTGATCACTGTATTGTGGGTCTGCCTTTGTCTTGAGGAAATAAATATTGAAGTATTTAAAGGCAAAGGGGTATCATGACTGCAGCTACTCTTATTTGGTTCAGAAACACGAGAGAGAGAGAATAAGACAGCAAATGTGGTAACAAGTTGACACTGACGAATTAGAGTGGTAGAAATTCTCTGCACTCTTTTGTAGCTTTTTGGTAAGGCTAAGATTATTTCACGATAATAAAACATAACAACAATGGTGATTTGCTTGTCACTGGTGGTAAACACATAAATAAAGCCACAAAGAGCACACAGCCCGGGACAGCTAAGGCAGCACCCCATCTACAGTCAGCCAATGCTTTCTCCATATCATTACATCTCACATGAAAAATCCAGTTACAAGTTAGAAACACTTGCCCTGTGTTCTATATTTACCAATGGAATTGTTGACTCTGTCTCCTTTCTTCTTCTTATTTTTCTTGTTCTTGCCTTTGGGCTGAGGAGAATCTGCCTGGATCAGCTTGTGGTTCTGCTGATGCTCGCTGGGAGAGGTGGGCTCCGGAGGGCTTGGGTTTGACTTTTCTTCCTTGACATGGTTCAGCTGCTTTTTGTTATTATTGTTACTGTTGACTTTTCTCTCCTCTCTTTTCTGCTCTGTGAGGGAAGTGAGGTCAACCACTTTAGTTTTTGACTCAGTCTGTGCCCGGGGTTTGGGCTGGCCCTCTGTGGCTTTGGGGGGCTCCATAGGCTTCCTCACTGGCTCATTGCTGGCCTTACTGGGCTGCTTTAGCTTCTGTTTGCCATTTCCCTCTTTATGGTGCTGCATTATGTCGAAGAAAAAAGACAGGGGCTCGTGCTGCTTCCCACTGACATCCTTGGAGAGGAGAAGCTTGGAGTCCCTGATGTCAACAGGGTCTGCAGCATCCCCATCAGCTCGAGGCACCGGCCTGGGCTCTGTGTGGTTCACAGGTCTGGAAGGAGAGCGAGATGAGGTTTCTGGTTCTTCAGTTGGCTCCAGTGAGCCATTGTGGATGTTTTCAGAGTTAGGAACAGGCTCTGTTGCTACCTGGAAATTTCTAGCAAGCATGTCCAACTTGGGGCAGTCTTTACTTGGTCTCTCCTTCTTCTTCTTTTTCACAGCTCTCAGCTTTTGAAGCTCCTGAAGCCGCTGAAATTCCTCCTTGAAACGCTCCTCTTCTTCTTCCTCTTCCTCCTCCTCCTCCTCACGCCGCCTCTGCTCCTCTTGGAGGTGCAGATGCTCCCTGGCCCTGGCCTCGGCTTCCAGGCGAGCTTTCTCCTCCAGCTACCAATACAAAAAGAGAAAGTGACTTCAGAAGACAGTGACGATGTGTTAAAAATTAAGACACAAGCCAGGTGTCTCAGCCTGTAATCCCACGCCTTTGGGAGGCTGAGGTGAGTGGATTGCCTGAGCCCGCGGGTTCGCGACCCGCCTGGGCAACTTGGTGAGACCTCATCTCTACAATAAATCAAAAAAATTACTTGGAAGGCTGAAGCGCAAGGATCGCCGGAGCCCAGCAGGTCGAGACTGCGGTGGCCGGGAGCGGCCACTGCACTCCAGTCTGGGCGACAGAGTGAGACTCCAACTCAAAAAAAAAAAACAAAACAAAACTAAGACACAGAGAAAACTAAGATAAATTTTAAAACAATCACACATGGAACATAAACTCTGAAATAAACCGAAAAGTCACTGGGCACGGTGGCTCAAGTCTGTAATCCCAGCACTTTGGGAGGCTGAGGTGAGGAGACTGCCTGATCCCATGGATTCGAAAACAACCTGGGCAACTTGACGAGACCTCATCTCTACAATAAATCAAAAATTAGCCAGGTGTGGTAGCGCATACCTATAGTCCTGGCTACTTGAAAGGCTGAGGCGGAAGGATCACTTGAGCCCAGCAGGTCAACACTGGGGTAGCTGTGAGCATGCTACTGCACTCCAGCATGGGCAACGGAGGGAGACACTAACTCAAAAAAGTAAAATAAACCAAAATCTTAAAACACACCTACCTCCAATTATTTCATTCTAAAGAATTTTATATTTCACCTATCTATTAAGTTATATGCTTGCTTTATTGAGGGGGAGGTTAACATGACATGAAAGAAATGTGCAGTAAAAAACTAGAAATTCTTTCTTTCCATCCTAAAAGACAAACCAAAGTCCCAATACATTTTCACTACTATGACAGAGCAAATGACTTGCTGTCCTACTTGCGAGGAAATTAACTTCCATCCCAAGTAAAAAGACTGCTTTTTAATAGTGAAACATATCCCAGGGACATAAACGAAAATGATTTCTTCTATTCAGAAAACAGACAAGAGCTATCAGAGGAAGTTGTGCAGCTCCTCCTACCACTGACCGCCATAAGGCTAGCACTTGTGGGAAACTTGGGCAAAAGCACTTTTGCCTAGGAATATTAAAAGTCCTTTCCGAGTTTAAATTGTTTTTCACAATATTTTTAGTAGACAAACTTGTCTTTTGAACTTAATACATGTTTAACAATGATGTTGTTTAAAAATTTGACAATTAAAGTAAAAATAACTTAAAATCTTTGCTCCATATGTATGTCAGGTGCCGGCACCTGACAGCTTCTGGAAAGGCCCTGTGGTGGGTCACAGTCCAGCGTCCAGTGGGCCCCAAGGCTGAGCTGGAGGAGAAATCAACTCTGTACTACACTGGCTAGTGTCCTCTCGGAGCTGACAGACTCTACATGCTGGTCTAAATTCTGGCACGAGCTGTTCATCACATCACCGACTGGCAACGAGCAGGTGAAGACACCTACTTTGGGCAGGTACCCTAGTCCCCAGCAGAGCGGTTCCACCTGCACAGGCCTGTGGGTTGAACCTGTTCACAGGTCAAGTACTGCCTTCAACAAATAGTCACGGTCAGTGAGCCTCAGTGCAGATCTGTGGTCTGTCCTGTAAAATGGGGTGCTGGGTAAGCACCAGCAGGAGGTGCCACAAGGTGGGAGTGGGTGCTGAGCATGACCTACGATATCCGCCTCTAAGCTTCAGCTTGGACAACAGTGAGCCTGTAGCCTGGATCCAGATGTCTTACACAGACCGGGGGCAGGAGCCTGGGGTAGAAAGTACCCCCGAAAAACACTGGAAGGAGTCCCAGAGGCCTTCAGTGAATCCCACTGGAAGATATCATGGCCCTGGATCTCCATGGGGCCCCTGGATGCTGGAGCACTCTCAACAGAGAATACACCATGTTCTCCTCACTCCAGTGAGGCTCAGGAGGGCCCCCTCTCCTGGGGCACGGAACAAAGCTTCTTCCCCAGAGGCTGCCCATTAGACCCAACAGTCAGTCCAAGCCTATTTTATGATTATGAGGTACAAGCAGAGTTCCTGATGGTTAATCCACTTAGAATAATCACACCTCTATCAGAATCACACAGCTCAATTGGAAGCAACAAAACAGAACACAGGGCCCAACTCTGGCCCACTGTGGGATTTTTTTCTTTCTCCTCACATCGTTGCCTGACCATGCTAGGCAGGGGCTTTGCCTCTTCCCAAAGCAACCATCCTACTGTCAAAATCCCAGTAACCTTCACAAGTTCCTTCTGCATGTGACCTACATCTGCCTGCTGAGGTCTGGCTTGTGTAACCTGACATTTGGGGGGAGGGGGGAGTCTTTGAAACAGCTCTGGCAGGGGACATGCAGCAAATCCTCCAAGAGAATTTTTTTTTTTTTTGAGCTGGAGTCTCATTCTGTGGCCCAGGCTGGAATGCAGTGGCACACACACTCATGGCTACCCCAGCATCGGCCTGCTGGGCTCTGGTGATCCTTCCGCCTCAGCCTTCCAAGTAGCCAGAGTTACTGGCACGCGCTACTCCTAGCTAATTACGCCTAGCTAATTTTTGATTTATTGTAGAGACAAGGTCTCACCAAGTTGCCTGGGCTGGTCTCAAACCCGTGGCTCAGGCAATCTGCTCGCCTTGGCCTCCCAAAGTGCTGGGATTACAAACTGAGCCACTGAGCCCGGTCAAGAGAAATTTTTTTGAGGGAGTCTAAATAAATCAGATTCAATTTGATCCCAAGTTTCAATGTTAGCATGAAATAAAGAATACAATTTTTTTTTTAAGGGTGGTCTCATTCTGTTGTGCACGCTAGAGTTCAGCAGCACAATCATGGCTACTATAGCCTCGACTTGCTGGGCTCAGGCAATCCTTCTACCTCAGCCTTCTAAGTAGCTGGGAGTACAGGTGTGTGCCACCAAGACCAGCTAATTTTTTGATTTTGTTTTTTTTTTTTTTTTTTTGAGTGAGCCACCATGCCTGAATAAGCTTTGATTTTTTTTTGAAGAGTCTCTGTCACCCAGGCTGGAGTGCAGTGGCACGCTCACAGCTACTGTACTCAACCTGTTGGGCTCAGGCAATTCTTCCGCCTCAATCTTCCAAGTAGCTGGAACCACAGGCATGTGCCACCACGCCCAGCTAATTTTTTGATTTACTGTAGAGATGACGTCTCGTCATATTGCTCAGACTGGTATCGAAGCCCTGAGCTCAGGTAATCCTCTTGCCTCCGCCTCTCAAAGAGCTGAGATTACAGGTGCAAGTCATCATGCCCGGCTGATTTTTTGTAGAGATGAGGTCTCACCATGTTGCCCAGGCTGGTCTCAACTCCTGGGCTCAGGCAATCTTCTCACCTCAGCCTCCCAAAATGCTGGGATTACAGGCATAAGGCATTGCCTCCAGCCAAGAATATAACTGATCAATTAGTAGCAGAGAGTCTCATGTCTACTCATAGTCCCTCACTGGGCCAAGTAGAAATCAGACTTTTGTGACATACCACATCCTCTGGTGAGGTAGAAACTGCCCAAGGCCTCCCATGAAGGCTGGTCACCTTATTCTTCCACTCTTTATTTATTCTGAGTTGGAGTCTCACTCTGTCGCCCAGACTGGAGTGCAGTAGCCGCTCCCGGCCACTGCAGCCTCGACCTGCTGGGCTCCGGCGATCCTTCCACCTCAGCCTTCCACGGAGCTGGAACTACAGGCGCGCACTACCACGCCCGGCTAATTTTTTGATTAATTGTAGAGATGAGGTCTCGCCTGCCCAGGCGGGGCTCGAACCTGCGGGCTCAGGCAATCCACTCACCTCAGCCTCCTAAGCTTCCACTCTTTATGTCAATGCAATATGGTGGCTTTCATCTGGAATGTCCAGTGGGACAAGAGGTGTAGGGGTGGGGCTGCTCAGACCTGTATCCAGAAGGCTCTGCTTGCCAAGTGTCCTGCCCCAACTCAGAACAAAGACCTTTCTTCATCCACAAGCCCCACTCCCACAATATCTATTCTTTTTGGTTTTTTTGAGTTGGAGTCTCACTCTGTTGCCCAGGCTAGAGTGCAGTGGCATGCTCATGGCCACCCCAGTGTCAACCTGCTGGGCTCCAGCGATTCTTCTGCCTCAGCCTTCCAAATAGCTGGAACTGCAGGCATGCACTACCACACCTAGCTAATTTTTTGACTTATTGTAGAGATGAGGTCTCGCCAAGGTGCCAGGGCTGGTCTCAAACCCACGGGTTCAGGCAAACCACTCGCCTCAACCTCCCAAAGTGCTGGGATTACAGGCTGAACCACTGAGCCTGGCCCAAAACACAGAGGTTTTTGACCAGCTGCCAGTTCAGGCCACCAGAGAAAGTGCCTCTGGAAGCAATGTCTTGGTGTAAGTCAATAAGCTCGAAGTCTGGAGACCAGTGTGGTGCAGTACAGCATCTCCACCGCGGCCCAGCACCCACAGCACTGAGACCCCTTACTTGCCTTTCTCTGTTTATGTCTTGCTCGCTTGGCTGCTCGCGTACTGCTCACTGGTTTGGTCTCTGAGCTGTTTATAAACTGTAACAAATCCTCTACCCTTCGATGGTCAACAACACTCTCCCTTTCTGAGATCTGATCTATTTTTTTAGGTTGCTCTTCTTTCCTCTTGGTCAGCCGTAAACGAAGCTTTTCCCTCATTTCTGCATAGTTTCTACTTGTTGGTGCAGCTGGAGGCTAAAACAAATAACATAAGGAAATGAAGCTTAAGGTTTTAATAATTTTGAATGAACAAATTACAGACCATGTCTCTAAATATAAAATGTTTTATCACTCAAGTAGTACATACATGTTCACTGTGAAAAATAAGGAAATAAACAACTGGCAGAAAACAGAAAAACTTATCACTAAGACACCTAGAAGTTGTACTTTGGCAGCTACTCTTCAAGTTTTGTATATTCATGAGAAATCTGGTAAAGCATGTACAACTATGTACACAAATGGATATATATATATTTTTGGAGTCAAGGTCTCACTCTTGTTACCCAGGCTGGAGTGCAGTGTCATGATCATGCCTCACCACAGCCTCTGACTCCTGGGCTCAAGTGATCTTCCTGCCTCAGCCTCCTGAGTAGCTGGGACTATAGGTGCACACCACTACACCTGGCTAGTTTTTAAAAAAATTTTTTTGTAGAGATGAGGTCTCACTATGTTGCCTAGGCTGGTCTCGAACTTCTGGGCTCAAGTGATTCTCCCACCTTGGCCTTCTAAAGTTCTGGGATTACAGGCATGTGGCACTGCCCCCAGCCTACCTAAATGGAATTTTTTGTTTTAAAGATGCGGGGTACAATTCAGGGTTAGGTATGCAAACGTTGATTATGCAGGTACCCTTGATGAGGTGTGACCCTCCCTTCCCTAGCAGTTTCCCCTCGGCTGCCAAACCCATCCCCCCTCCCCTGGCAGTTTTCCCCTACTGTCAATCCCTTTCTTATAGTATTATTATAATTGTCAAGATCAAAGCAGACTTTTTAAACTGAAAAAGAACTACATATACTGATTAATTTATTTGCTACTCAATACAGTATGAATATCTTTTCATGTCAATAAAAGTGTCTCTAAATCTTTCCATACATTTGTAGGTTTCCTTTTCAATGCTGAAAAGGAAAAAAGCTGTCCTGAATACCAAATTTCTTACTATAAAAACATGTTCACATTTTAGGAAATGCAAACAGAACTAGAGCACAAAAAGAAGAACTATACCTTCCTGCTCATAAACCATGGGTGATGACTGCTTGTGCAAATTAATTTACTGCTCTAAAAGATGCACAAGTATGTGTGTGTGTGTGAATATCCTCTGTATTAAAACAAAAAGTTCAACTGTACACACACATCACTGCTGTCATTGGCTACAGAGTGTTCTACCATATAGATGTACTGCAACTAACAATTTCCTACTGTTGGTTATTCAGACTCCCTCTAACTTCACCAATTGTTTTTTAAAAATCACAGGCCAAGGTGAGAGGACTGCCTGAGCTCAGGGGTTCGAGACCAGCTTGGGCAACTTGGTGAGACCTCATCTCTACAATAAATCAAAAAATAAGCCGGACATGATAGCACATGCCTGTAGTTCTAGCTACTTGGAAGACTGAGGCAGGAGGATCACCTGAGCCCAGCAGGTGGAGGCTACAGTGGTTGTGAGCGTGCCACTGCACTCCAGCCTGGGCAATAGCGAGAGACTCCAGCTAAAAAAAGAAAAGAAAAAAATCATAAGCAGGCCAAATGTTCCATAAGTTGTCTGGCCCCCTCTCCAGTCTTGGAGAGGTGGATGCACCCTTTTCTCTGATCTACTTTCTAAATAAACTTTCTTTTCTAATCTTAAAAAAAAAAATCACAAATATAAAAATGCAGTGATGAAATCCTTAGAGCTAAATCTATTTTTCATTGTTTCTTCAGGATAAGTACAACCTAGTATATGAGGGGGGACTCCTCCCAAAAAACCTAGAATTTATTTATAAAAAATTGTGTTACATGTTTAACCTTCTGTCAGCTTCACAGAACTCTTTTTCCACTGCTCAAAGTTTTTGAACTTGTCAATTTTGATGTCTTTTAGTGCCTCTGCCTTTTTTTTGCTTCATGTTTTCCACATCAGCAAAATGTTTCCCTTTGAGGACTTTTTTCATCCCAAAAGTTGCTTGGGGCCAGATCAGGTGAATAAGGGAAGGTGAAGCACAGGGGTCATGCTGTTTTCGGTCAAAAACTGCTGAAATAGTGCAGTGTGGGCAGGTGCATATGCAAATTTCCCATTATGAAATAAGGAAAAAAAAAAATTTACTGATGCCAAGTATAGCCTCTCACAACAATAACTAGCTGGTACACTGATGCCAAGGGAATCCTACAAAACTTACCCAGAGGGGGAAGCCTGTACTACTAGAGGCCTGCCCTCCAAAAGATAACTTTGGATTTTTTGGGTCCCCCCTCATAGAATTCTTGCAAAAGTCCATACACCACATACTTCCCACATCCCCCACGCGCCACCTCACATACTCACCCCGCCATGCCCGAAGAACTCGCAGTAGCAGCAGTCGCAGTACTTGCCCTCCTTCTGGTTGGTGGAGGTTGAGGTGCTAGAGCTGTGCTCAGAGCAGCTATCCTCGTCTGCACTCTCATCCCCATCGTCCTGCTGTGGGTCATAGACGCCATTCTCACAGCGGTGTCCTTCGCAGTCGGGGTCACTGCAAAACCAAACGTGGGCTTGTCAGCACTGACTCACTGCTCCTTACGACCACCTGCTGCCCTGCCCACTTCACAAAGGAGAGGCAGCACAGAGGTTACATGGCCCCAGAATCAAAGGGAGTCAGACGCAGTCATGAAGGTGTAGGCTAGAGCTCAAGCAAGAGGCATGGTACGGGTGTGGTCATTCACAGCACTCACAAAGTGCCATTGGAACAGGAATGGACAGGAACATATAGAGTCTTTCCAAAATCTCCTGGCACTGTCCCTGCCACCAACACTTCCATACTGAGGGAGGGGATGGCTTTAAACAGGCAAGTTCAAAGTTAACAGAGGCCGTAAAATCTGAATGTTTACTGTGTTTCGCAATACACATTTTACATACGTTCTCCTGACCTACCCAACGTATATAAACACAACTTAAAAACAAGGCACATCCCCGGTGTTGCCTGTGATGTGGGGTAGTTGGCCCGTGATACATGGTGACCCACCACCCTTGCTCTTCCTTTTGCAAAATTAGAGGCTGAGATAGGAGCCCCCTCCACGCAGGGCCTCTGCTGGGATGTCTCTGTGCTCCCTCTGCATTTCACTAGACTTCTCAACCGTGTGGTTCCAGGTGAGAGAGTTTCTGTAGCTGTGTCAGTGTAGCACAACACACATTTTCTGAAGTGCTCCGACCTTCCTAACCAGGCCCTGTCTCACCTGCAGACACTTGGAGGGGCGCTGATGGAGCCGTCTGTGGTGGGGGGAGGGGGTGCAGGACAAAAGCTCTTGCGTGTGTCCACAAACCCTGGAGCTGTAGTTGCAGCTTTGGGGAATGACGGGGCTGCAAGATTGGCAAGGTGAGGTGTGGAAGCAGGCGAGAGTGCAGCAGGCGAGAGCCCTGGAAGCGGGGTCAAGCCTGTGGGGCTGTTCCTCGGGGCTGTGGGTGCTGAGTGTCTGTGGTCCTCCTTGTTGATGCCATGAAAGACGTCACCTGCATTTAGAAGATGCAAGAGTCACTGCCAATTTTTCACTTTGAAAATAGAAAATTTGATGAAATAGTACAAAAAATACCCATTCATCCTTCACCTTGATTCATCATGATTTAATATTCTGTCACATTTACTTTGCTTATATGCACACATGCTTTTTTGATGTGACACACGGAAGTCGCACTCACCCCTAAGTACTTCAGCAAAAACTCTTGAGAAGACATTTTGCTGTACGTTCCCAATACCATTATCACACCAAAGACATTTCATCTTGCCAGGATACTCCTATCTGTGCACAACCCATATCCAATTTTCTAACTTCCCCTATACGCCTTTTACAGACTTTCCCTTACCTCAGCCTCTTCCAAATCTTTTCTCCTTTCACATGACTAACATTTTCTAATAAGACAACTGTCCACCAATCTGGATTTACCTTGTCCCAGTAGTTTTGGGTAAAATATAAACCCTGCAAAGGTCATGCTGAATCCTTCCTACTTCATGGCAACAGGAGGCACACAATGTCCCTCTTTGCATGACCACGCGCCTGGGGTGTCTGCCAGATTCCTCCAGAGCGAGGCACCCACCACCCCTCTGCAATGTGTCGGCCTCCTGTGGGCGCTGAAACACCACATTTCCCAAAGTGATATCCAGCTCTAGCATTGGCGGCTGACGTGCTCCTGCACCAGCTACTACATCTGACTGAAGGGTGCTGACTTGCTGCTTCTATCCTCCTGGCACACTTAGTAGTGATGTGCTTCTATAAAAAAGAGCCTCCCACCCTACTCCCTTATGAGTACTTCTAGGAATTCTTGATTGTATCTGCTTAATCAGTTTCATTATTCTTTTCTTTGAGTCGGAGTCTCACTGTGTTGTCCAGCCCTGACCTACTTCCGCCAGGCGATCCTTCCGCCTCAGGCTTCCAAGTAGCCGGAACTACAGGCATGCGCCCACTCAACTAATTTTTTTTATTTACTGTAGAGACATGGTCTTGCCATGCTGCTCAGGTTGGTCTTGAACCTGCGGGCTCAGGTAATCCTCTTGCTCTCGCCTCTCAAAGTGCTGGGATTACAAGCGTGAGCCACTTTGCCCGGCTTCATTATTCTTTTTAACGACCGATGTGTCTCAACCTTGGCTAGCTGAGGTCCCCCCTTTGAGCCAGCTTCCAGTTGTCATCAGTTTCTGATGGCTTTCTTGCTTCCTCCTTCTCGCTGTCGGTCAATGGGTGAACCTGAGTGTCAGCAGGGGCTGCACTCCAGCCTGGGGTGAGAGGCAGCCCTGTCAGCTTATAGCTGCTCTCTTCTGCTCAGCATTTTCCTAAAGCAGCTTCTGAGGAATCTCACTACATGCTCAGAAAGCAACAACCTCTTCCAATCACAAACCTCTCCCCATCACAGAACAACAGAAGCAGAGACTAAAGGCAAGATACTGTGCAGCAAAGCATCAGAGGAATCTAGTATGACAGCTACATTCTCAGAGTCCCAGAGGTTCTCTGTTCTTTGTGCACTAGCATTTTTAGGGTGTTAATTATATTTACACCTCTGGCTAGGCTAAGTAAAATGCAATTACAAAGATGATGAGAAGTCAGTAAGTCCAGCCAGTCCTCAGGTCCCTGAGGACTAATAAGCTTACCTATTGAAGGAGGTCTCTTGGAGGACACTTTGAACTGGCTGTTGCTGGACTGCACCGTGGTAGCCGTGCATGACACGGAGGACGTGGCTGATGAGGTGGCCATGACAACTTTGTTTGCTTCCATAAAAGCATCTTGAAAATTGTACAAACATTTCTTTTTTGCAGCATTTTTTTTCTCTTTACTATCCGAAACTGCAGGTGTTTCACTGCTAGATGGAGGTGGAAGGGCTTCAGGTCTTGTTTCTGAGAGTGTTGGCCCTAATATATCACTCCCTTCAGAGAAGAATGGGAAAATTAAGGCTTCTAGTAGAAAACATACTTAACTAAACCCTAAAAGACATGCTGATGCTTGAACACTTAACGTGTGGGCTGCTACTAAAGTCAGGATCCCACTGGGATGATGCTGGGTCAAACTAGTTTTTGATCTGAGAAACAAACTTTTTATTGAGCACCTACTATGTGCCAATTCCTGTGCTAGGTGCTTTCCAAAGTTATGTAATGTCTTAAAATCATTTTCTAAGGTTGGTTCTGTTACTCCCATCCTAAAAAGATGAAGAAACTGAGGCTCAGAGAGGCTAAGCAACTTGCCCAAGGTCACACAGCTAGAAATCCTTCCCAAGCACAGATCAGGATGTCAAGTCTAGCTTGCTGTTCTGAGCACGTACAGGGGCTAGGGCCTGCCGAGAGCTCTGGCCATATGAAGACAGAGATGAGGCATGGGTACCAACCCCTCCTCAGGTGCCCTGGTCCTATACCTGAAGTTACAGCTAAGCCTCAGCAGCGAGGCAGCTGGGGAGGAAGGAGCTTGTTAGAGGGGACAGATCCCATGTCGGGCCAATACAGAAGCCAGAGGAAAAGGAGTGTAAGTCACAGACTCAAGCTGACCGTGGCACTGTCTCCCTGCTCCTGTGCACTGGGGCTGAGGCCTGGCCGTTACCACTGCTCGAGAATCGAAGGCCAGAACTGGGCCATGGACATCAGGCCTCAGCAGCACGGGCGCAGGGCTAGTGCAGCTCACTGGGCTGGCAAGCCGTCGTGGAGCCAGAGACTTGCTCTGCACAGTCAAGGCAGTGGGGCTGACTGGTGGCAGGTGCAAGAGGATGAAGTGGATGACAGCCCCAAGGGCCCCCGGAAACGGAGGAGAGGGAGTCGCAGCTGGGTACAGCTGCACCAGGGCCACGGCGGCACCAGGGCTTCTACAGGAGACTACAGCAAAGATGTCAACGCACTCAGCTGGGGTCCCTTTAACACTTTAGGAGAGTTTTTAACAAATTCCTTACCAGAAATTGTATCTGGCAAGAAAGTGCCAGGATTCCAGTTCTTATCATTCATCACTTCTGATCCCCAGAGACTTATAAACTTAGAACTATTCCACTCTGGAGCACTCCCAAAACAGCTCGGATAAATATGGTCTTGAAGAGATGCATTGAATACCTGATGCTTATTTGTGTGATTCTGAACAGGTGCTGGCGGTAAAGCCTACAAAAAAAAATTTTCTAATCACATATCAAAATTAATATTCTGTTTACCTGTGTAGTTACACCACAAACAGACAAAGCATTACTGAAACCCTGTGGGACATGCTCACGAGCTGGTGCCCACAGGGGAGCACATCTCACAAAGCGCTGGCTCGATTTATGAGGCTATACAGGACAGGTCAAATTTCAACAAGACACAGACTTTAAAAGCGATGGATGCCTGAAGGAATGCATTTAAACAAACTTTAGACAGCTCAGTAACCCATAACACCCTGCCTAGTCACATGGCTAGTAGGTGTGTGGCTTACACACATAGGATCTGTTCCTGTGGCCTATTCTCACCTAGCATTTTAATGGGCATAGCCAATGAGCTCACTTTGGAATCACTGATGAAAGTGGGTAAAACCCTTATACTGACTCCTTACACCTGGGCAAAGTACAGCACAAGTCTGAAGAACTAGAAGGATGTTATTTTGTACTCTGAAGGTGAGTACTCTCAAAGGAATCACTTCCTGGGCAAGCCCTGCCCTGGGCCCTGTCGGGCAGACCCTTGTTGACACACCAAGGGAAGGGGATCAGGGTCTGGCCAGCTGGTCAGCCAGCATCATGGTAATTATTGATCGACTAGCCATCTGGCTGCGCCCTGCACACACCAGGGACTCCTTGGACCTTCCTTTCACCTCAGCCCCTGCCCAGGGACCAGGTCGCCTGCGGATCTCCTACAGAGCTCCGGGGCAGTCTGCTCTCGCAGTGGCATGACTGCAACAACCCCCACACTTGCACTTGGGCTTCTGCCCAGTCCTTCTCTTCACAACAGCCAGAACGGTCTTTTTAAAATGTAAACACGAGCAAGCCACTCCCCTGCGCAGCGTGCAGTGACGGCTTCCCAAGGTTCTGGTCCAGTGAGACCCCAGGGAGCTGCCTCTGCCGCCTTCATCCTTCCTAGACACACAGGCTTCCCCTGGCCTTCACGTGCCCATGCTCCTTGACCCTAGACTGTGCTCACCTCACCTCGTGACTCACTCACTCACACTCATCTTTCAGACCTCAGCCTAAATGTGCCTCCTCAGGGAAGCTGGCACTGCTTTTGCGCTCGCCACCCGAAACCCTGCACCCAAGACCAAGGCAAGCCTTCCCACTGAACACACTAACATCCGTCGTTTTCCCTCTCGGCACTCACCTCAGTTATAACTCAAGACTTGCATGCAGCTTATTGGCTTAATGTCTGCCTTCCCCAAAATCACATGTACTTCATGCGGGGATGGGACATCTGGACACTGGCCCTGCTGTCCCTTATCAGTGCTGGGCACACTTTCCTCAGCAAGACGATGTGCTGCTGGAGTGTACGACTGCCCAGGGATGGGCCTTGCACTAGAGAAGCTACATGGCTGGTGCTGGGAAGGACACGTGGCAGACCAGTCTGCTAGGATACAGGAACTAGCAGTGGATTTGTAAACTCACGCAGGAGGGCTCCCAAGAGCAGGTGGTGTTTCCCAGAATCCCGAGGGCCTGGTGGGAGCAGAGGAAGGAAGGGATGGGGGAAGAAGCAAAGGGGTGGCCCCTATGTGGATGGCAGCACCACACCCTGACAAGTTCCCGGACGAGTTGGGGGAGTGGCCAGATCAGGGCCAACTTTGAATGACTTTGTCCTGTTGGGTTTGGGGTAACCACAGAGGGTTTTAAGCAGTTGAGTGAGATGACTGGGTCAGTTTACTAGATCAATTTGTGGCAGTACAGTGAATGGTCTAGAAGGGGGAAGGATAACACTGAAGTAGTTAGTTAGGGGATGAAAAATGATGATGCAACGGCAGTGAAGATGATGAGGAAAGGAGAAACTGTGGAGCGACGGAGAACACAGTTGTGACTGAGAGTCTAACCAGGGACTACACTCCTGGCTCTATCACGAGGAGGGATGGTTAGGTGACAGAGCTGGATTGGAACTCTAGTCCCATGTCTCGGCCTTCGGGCTCTGCAGTCTAGCAGGCTCAGATGCCAGCTCTCTTTTATTAGCTGTGTGACCTCAGGCAAATCACTCAATCTTTTTGTGCTTTAGTTTTCTCATCTGTAACCCAGAAATACCTACCCTCCAGGGTTGTGGAAAGAATTCAGCACATTGCCTGGCTCATAGTAAGCATTCAGTGAGTGCAAAGGAGGATTCATTTCATAAGATTATAGTCCCTGGACATAAAACGACTGAGCAACCAACCAAATCTAATCGGCTGTGCCCACTCTCCCATGGTGCTTCGAAGCAGAGAGGAAATGAGAGTAACTCCCCCAGGCCACTGGACAGGTCAGTCAAGCTACTGGCCTGGGTTAGGCCCAGGGAGACGAAGCGGGAGGGGAGGCTGGAGCAGACGCACACACTCAGGACTTAACAGCAGGAAGAAAGAAGTCTAGATGGGTCACCTGGGATACAAACAAAAACCTGAAGTAGTTGTTGTGGCATGGGAGTCCCAGGGAGCAAGAACAAGGAGAAGAAGAAAAGCTTATTTCAACAAACACCCATTTCTACAAAGTAGTGAAGAACTGCTTTGCTGAGAAGAAAATGATGAAAAGTAACAATTAAGCAGAAGAAGGTTTCTTAGTCTTGTGGACTTTGTGATAAGGGATAGAAATACCTGACAGGTTGAAATCAGCCAGCTTTGAGAAGCAGCTCTACCTTGCTAGCCCCCGCTGGTGAAGTCTGAGTAGCAAAAGCACTTTCAGGTTCTGAAGCTGCATATGTGCTTCCTATGGCTCTCCAAAGATACGCCTATGAGTTTTTTGGTTCATTCTCTGGAAAGCCTGGCTGAGAGCCTGGACTCCACCACCCACTGGGTCCAGAGAGCTTTTGCTTATTCGTCAAAACCCTATTCCAGCATCATCTCCTCTGCAGAACCACTCTGGGCTCATTTGAACAGTTTTCTCCCTTCAGTGTTCTTTTATCTACCTTGTAAGTTCTATCAGGTACATCATAGCATTTTGATGTTTTTGTTTTATGTTTCTGTATTCTTTTTAGAATGTAAGCTTTTTGAAAACAGGGACCAAGACTAAGGATTTTTGTTTTCCTACAATGTAGCACAGGGCCTGGCACATATTGGGTGTTCAATAAATATTTGTTGAACAGTGTTTGGCTTAGAGGATAAGGGAATGCATGTATATACACTGTAACGCTGTAAATATAAGGTCATGATTCTACACATTCGACTTATATACTCATCAGAAACTCACCTACTCAAAAAAGGATGCCCAATTGCAGGGACAAAGTAGAAAAGTAATGGGGATCAATAACAAAAAAAGTTGTATATTTTTCAGTGTTTCTGCAGAAGGTACCTACTGACCTCACCAGTTTAAGGGTTTCCTTAAAAAAAAATAAAAAAGGTGTCTGTCACCTAGACAATTTCTGGGCCATGTCTTGATAAGTCCATCAAGGATTTAACTGTCAAGTAAGTCAATCAAAATATGGATTCTGCTATTGAATTAGAACACTGACTTCACTCTTTATGCAAATCCACAAAGCTTCAATTACCAAGCTTTGAGCCGCTCTCCACTTTAAGGCAAAAGAAGTAATCCACAGAAAAGGAAAACTTTTGCTTTAAATGAAAGCTCTGACACAAATGCGAACACTGAAAAACTGCCTTTCACGGAGCACACATTCATCGTTCACCCAGGAGCTGGTGACTTGGCCTGTCCTCTACACCAACTACACCCATGAGCCAGAGAGCCAAAGACTAAATCATGAAACACACTTCAAAGAGATTACCAATATTAAGTATCAAACAAAAAGGAATTTCAATTATATCCTAGGTACCAAGAAAAGACGAGTGACTCTATTCTGTATTTCTTTTAACTGAGGCTTTTCAATATTTCAATATGGTAAAGAGGCAAGAGGACCATCTTTATTTTGGCCTTGCTAGTTCTCAGGCTGAAAGAACTGAATCCAACCTCTAAAATAAAATGCAGATAAAAGATCACAATATGATCCCCAAATTGCAACCTGTTTTCGACACTATTTTCCACATAGCTTTCTCTTACCATCTCAATCTGAACTTACACTTGTACCATGTTTTAACCATATTAAACACTATTGCAGTGGATGTACTTAAGTCTCAAAGTAACTTGGAGATGGAGGTATAAAGACACAGCCTGGACCTTGAGGCTAACAAGAAACTAAGGCCACATGGCCCAGAGCCACGTGGGAGTTGCACCCAGCTCCCTCACCCCCACCCACGTCACCAGGTTCCACTTCATGCACTAAACTCACTGAAGGTCAGAACATAGTGACTGTTAAGAGTCCCCATGTTTCCAGTGGAGAATTCAAGGCATCTCTCTCCTTCGTTTCTAGGCCCTTTCCTGGTACGGTGATTGTTGTACAACACTTGTTCCGTGAAAAAGATTTCAAGTCACACGCTTTGGGTACCACTAGAAATTCTGGTCCTGCAGTTGTAATCTACTCCTGGCCATGTGGGACAGAGGTGGAAACCTGCTCCATGAAGGATCAGCAAGGTGAAGCTCCCCCTGCTTGCCTCTGCTCTTCTCTCTAAGGCTGTTCTTCCTCCTGGCCTGGGCTTTGTCAGGTAAGAGGGGCTATTTAACTCTACATCTGAGAGAAATGATACCATCTTGGTAATAAAATGCTACTGACAAAGGCAAAGGATAAAAAGCAGTGATAAAAACGTGGTGAAAGAACCGAGGTGGAAGTGAGGGGAACGGACAGCTGCCCATAGGACATGCACACCATCATCACAGGGATGTGAATGATGTGGGGACTGAGGCGTGGTCCCATAGGAAGCAGCGGTCTTGCAGACTCTCAAGAGGAGCCTGGTTGACATCTGCTGGTGGACTTTCACCAGCAGATGTCAACCCTCTCGTGTAAGGAAACCATTCTCTATTTAGGACCTTGGGGTCCTCACAGGGTAAGCAGAACAAAATATGACTTCATAATAAAAAAAAAAAATCCAGCCGAGTTCAGTGGCTCAGCCTGTAATCCCAGCACTCTGGGAGGCTGAGGTGAGTGGATTA